TCCACGAGAGCCACATCCACTCCGTTTTCTAAAGGGCTTCCATGCCAACTGGTGAGTGGACTTTGTCCACCCCGGAGCCGAGACCGCACTTCGGTCGCGACCGCCTCCTTCAAAAATGTCGGGGGTGGGGGGCATGTTCTTGAATTAAGGATGAGAAAGCGTCATTTGTCATGGAGGGGGGATAATGATTCCGGCAATTTTCACATGAACTTCAAAACCTAAAATAAGGGATCCCCAACAAAAGGATCTTTGCCATAGCTCATGGCTGTTGCTCGCTTTATCCCCGAATCAGTGAGCTCGCCAAAAAATAATGCAACATGATGAAAGGCCACGCTCTTTCATCATCAAGCTCTCCGAAGTCATTGTGAACCGCCTCAATATGACGCCCTTCCACCCCATCGAGCCCGCCACAAAAAGTTCTCAACCTTGTTGGAAGAGGTTTCTAGAAGCCTTCTGGTCGAACCTTGTGTCTCCCGACACTTGGAGATCCCGAAGAGGGCCCTACTTACGTAAGAGGAATGCATTCCAAGTCCAAAGGATCTGAAAATTGAAGGTTGACCGAATCAACTATAATGCTGTATTGAGGCTCTACTGGATGGAATTCAGCCATGTATTGACAGGCGGCGTAACCGCGCAGCAACATTGATTACCCAAATGAATCCCCTCCGCATGTCGAAGCCCGAATATATGCCTCAAAGCAAGGCCGCAAGGGTTACACAGCAAACTAGATTGCACAGCAACACTCATACAAAACGTGTGAGCCTGCACAATATCCTTGAATACCCTTTAAGCGCAACAATGAAACAACGCAGACGGATGCAAACAACATAAGAAGTTCGGGGGGCATCGTGCAAAAATACAAAACACAACGCGCGTAGTGGCATTTCTCAATCAAGAAAACACCCAAGCCATCAATTCTTGAACAGTGTCTGCATAAAGCAGAGGTGGCAAGCCACTAGATATTTCAAGCCAATCAGCCATGACCCTGGTAGTCATATCGAGCGTACACGTCAAGTACGGCAAAGACATCAGCAACAGGTTACACGGACATCAACATTTACATGTTGCCAACTATCCGTGTCACGAATCGTAGCAACACAAAAATCAGCCTCTCGGGCCAGCAGAGGCCCCAGCGTTCATATCCAGGCCGCGCTGTAGACCTCAGAGATTTGAGAACAACTGTGAAGGGAAGCAGCATGCTGGTTGCACCTTGAAGGCTTGAATGTAACCAGGTCGCAAGTAGGTGCTGCCCAAAGGGCCCCGTGTTCAAGGGACTTTGACTAACATGGGCGACAACGGGAACACCAAAAGCCGAAAAGGTTGAACTGAGCCGGAAAGTGACCCAAGCTGCTTGAGTTGACCATCTAGATGGCCTTCAGCGGCCATGTTGGCTTGGTCCTTGTGCCTCTGGGACAGGTTGGGCAAAAAGACACCTACTCAAAGGGCCCAAACATGCTTTTTAATCAGGAAGTCCCGAAAAGAACAAGGTTGCCATGATACGCGTTTCTCACACACACACACACACACACGCCCTGTGCTATCACAAATGCTTGCCGAACTTGCGAATCGCGCGTTAACTACCAAGCTGTCATCGGAGCTCTGGGAATAGAGGCTTTGTGTAGCTCACTTGCCCAAAGGACTCAGAAATAAAAGGTCACCCTTTTGGCACCTCCACACAAATTAACCAAAACGGGAAAACCGAAAGGTCAAAAGGTCGGCTTTGGGCAACTGAGGTAGGGCAAGCTCCAAGTTGGTTGGCCCTGCAACCGAGCCATGTCGCTTTCGAAAGAACTGGAGAAAGCAGCGGATAGGCCGCCAGTCTTCCAAAAAAAACTCCGGCAATCCTGGGCTCCTGAAATCCCCTGCTTAAAGTGACTGGGCAAAATCATGTAAAATCCGGGACCCCAAGCACCAAACTACCCCCAAAAGCCCCAGAAGCCGTCCTCGAACCGACCCCGCTGGTTCCGAACCCCGCCGTTCGGAACCGAAGCCCTCCAGCGCCCGCGCGAAGCGCCGCGATTTTTTGTTCTTCCCCGCGACGGATCCGAGGCCAGTCCGCAGGACCTGGAATTGTTTGAGCGCGGCGCATGAAAGGGCACATGATGCAGCAAATGGTTGAGCACGAAACATGAAAAAAAAAAAAAAACGGTTGGACCATTGCACATATATATATATTATGTATATATGTATATATAAATAATATATAATATGTATATATATACTATATATATTAGACCAACCACACACAAGATAAACACACAATTGGCCTCCACAAAAAAAAAAAAAAAAAAAAAACGAGACGGCAATTATGGGTGACTAGCAAATGAGCTTCATCGTTTTTGCTGATGTGGCCACCATTCGTTGTGTCAAGCCCAGCCTGGCTGTGGAATTGTCCTGCTTCTCGTGCTTCGCGGCCTGGCAGCTTTGTGCTGGCTGCCATTCTCAGGTCCAAGTTCCTCAACACATGGGGGAGACAGCCTGGGCCGTCTGTTTTCTGTTCGGCCCTGTGGTAATTGTTGCCGAGCAACATGTGTTGCAACTCCGCAGCCTGAATATCTGTGATCCGGAACTTAGGCATCCGTCTCAAAAAAGTCGATATCAAGCTATGAGACGTCTCCTCGTAAAGCCCTCCTTTGCAAGCACCCACGCGAGAAGATATATATATATATATATATGATTATGGGGCAAAAGCATGTACCAAAATGGCACCGTGGTAAATAGAACCAAACACTAAAACCTGCGTAACCCTAGCTCTTTGAGCCACACCCATGATTTTCCCAAGCAAAAGAAGACGGAATGCAATGGATGTTCAATGTGTTTCAGCCCATCCCACTCGAGTACATGGCCCATGTAACGAAGCGTTCTGTGGTAGACCGCGCTAGACAAAAACAAAAACACCAAGTTCAGCCTCGAAGCAAGAAGCCCCCGCTCGCGCGCCTCCTGCTTCCCCACTAGAACGTGAACAGGTGTCCGATCCAAAGGAGCCAAGCAAAAACAAAGAGGCAAAGACCAAGTGCAAGCCATGAGCCCATGGTACAGGAGTACGGACTATCATGAGCCCATGGCAAAGAAGGACATTGAGTGAGTGACAGAACGTATGGGGCAAACCAACCCTTTGGACATGTGGACCCCTAGGTCGTCCGGTAAAGAGGTTAGAATGAGTTGGTACCCTTTTTCTCTAGTCTATTTTAGTAGGGGGACCCAAAACCCCAAAAAAGAAACGGTAGAGAGCCCCTTTTCCACGCGGTTCGAATTGCCGCCGGAGCTGTGTTCTTCCGAGGCCGTTTGGCTGAGGCGAGACTGCATGCGCCTGCTCTTGAGGTCGGCTGGAGATGACAAAGCAAAAGCACGCAGGTGCACCAAACCTGGTTGTAGAAGAACAAGCTACACACACACACACACATCATACCCATCTGAGAATCAGGACTTAACGCGGTTCCAAAGGCCCCCACGCAACCCTATTCCAATTATTCTGGCCTTTGCGGCAATGCAGGTGGACTTGCACATCTTGACAATTGTTGCGACGGGACAGGGGAAAAATGGTGAACAGGTTGGCTCGAGGCATGAAGAGCAAACAACCCCCTCGGACCTTGGAACAGATTCAAGCTCATCAACCCAGCTGGAAAAACAACCTAGGCTTGCGACAGTCAGCCCCAATGAAACTATGCATGCTAGATGATCTGTGTCGTCTGGCCCCCACGTCGCACTCTTCCAGTCAATAAACGCTAAGGCATACCCCGAGCTCTGTTCACATGCCGGCACACCCTTTCCCAAGAAGAGTCGTTGCGCTAGCTCAATTTTGCAATGCTTCAAGCGAACTTTGGTACACCAAGCTCACTACACGACAGTCACATCTTCATTAAGGAAGCTCTTTTCCTAGCTCCATGGCACACCTCGACTCGACGCACTCAACGCATGTCAGCTTTTGCTTGGTAAGGTTTGCTTGCTTCACGCTTTGTATCGCATCTCCGGTCCTCACTGTGCGGCAGGGTCGAGCCGCAGCTGAAGGAGTCACTAGCTTGGAAAGCACCGCATATTCAGACAGTTGCCAATCTAGATCAGTGAGTATCACTGACTGGCATCAGGCTTCCAAGTGGTTCCTCCTCCTTAGCCTTCACTTGAAGGCCTCCAAAAAATAAAGGTGCACCGAGGCGAGCCAGTCCGAAATACGGGCAACACGTGCGTGGTAGCCCCGGAACCAACCTCGGGGCTCGAACAATTGTTGTTGGGAGGCTCCCTGCGTACCTGCGAACTGACATATGAATCAAACTGAAACAAAGGCACCCATCAAATCAAGCATGGCAAATACAACACGAATCAAGCCAAATGGACCCTGCGAAAAGCCCTGAAGTCATTCGCTGCTACGTTCTGTTATTGCAACTTTTAGTGCAAGTGAGTCCAGTGTTGGTCGGCAGAGCCGACGGTCACAACTTTGCAGTGCACATCTTGCAGGCAAAGTACATTTTGGCAGCTCGAACCTCGCAACTGTCGCACAGGGAGTGCAGAATGGCAGCTCAAAGCTTGAACGACTAATTGTTCATTTGGTCCAGCTCAAAGATCAAAACTGTTTAGTGCGGTTGACTGCGAAATACGCGGCAGCTCCAAATCTTCACGTGGAAAGCTCGCGAAGGTCGATTCCGTGGTTCTTCGTTGCGCTCGTTTTGCCCATTTCGGGCTGGCCCCCTGCCTGAAATACCGCATCGAGTCATCGAGTCCTTTGAATCGTGAAAGTCGCACTCAAAACCCGGCACCGCCCTTGGTCTAGCGCCATGCAAAGAACTCAGGCGGCCCCGTGGTTGGGACTGTCCCTAACCTGCAGCTGCTCGTGGCCATGGGTCAAAAACCCGTTCCCCCAGTGAACATCCCAATCCAACCACTAAAAAAGACTAAAATGGGTGGTGCACCGAAAACCCCAAAATGGGATGCCAAAACGGTTTTGACCCACAGCCACCCGGGTTTTGAGCAAGTGAACCGCTCGCATGGGCGAGCGAAGGCCCATCCTAAGCGCGGTGACCTGTCGCTCCCGCGGAGCCCGCGGAGCTTGGGCATGCACCTCGGTGCCAGTGACGCTGAGAGGTCGATGCGCGAAACGCGGCGAAAGTCTTTGTTTGATATTCAGCCTCCCTCTATTCAGGGTTCCTTGATACTTCCTTGATACATTCAATCGCATTGTCCACAAGAATGTAGCAGAGTGAGAGAAAAATGAATAGATGTATATTATGCTATGATCAGCTTCCCTCTAATTGGTGGTTCGGAGCCCGGTGGTTTGGTGGTTGAGGAGCGGTTTCCCATTCACCCTCTACAACAGCCAGGGGTTCAAATTCCCAAACCACCAACTAAGGGTTACCTGATATATCGTTGTTGCGTTTGATTGTAAAAAAAGCCCTGTAGCATAGCCACATGCACTGCCAAATCGGGTGAACATGACCAACAAGAAAGCCCTGCATATGTTGACCCAAATCTGGTCCGCTGAGCGAAACAAAGTTCATATGCCATGGTTCGCACACACATCTAGGTCCTCCAGTTTTCGAGGTTAGAATAAGTCGGTACCCGATTTTTTTCTGTTTCGTGTATTTAGTAGGGGAACCCTCCCCAAAAAAAGAAATGGTAAAAGGGCCCTGCTGGGGAACCTAGGACCTAGAAATAGAAAACATTGCCAGCCAAACTCTGCTCCTGGCCGCATTGCAGAATCCGAAGTCTGGAAGCGGCCAGAGCTCCACGTCTAGTGCACTCCTGCAAGCAATGCCCAAGAGTCCGAAGGCGCACTGCTACTGCGCCTCTTTTAAATGACAAGCACAGCGATCAGCAGGGTTTCTGGGCCGCGCTCGCCCCCTCGGTGTCGGGCGCAGGGCTCGGGTCCCCGGGTCCCCCGGCGGCGACGGCTCCAAATGGCCAAAGCCACCCCAGCGGCAGCCACGGGGCACAGCGGCAGCAGCGGCAGGGCCAGCCAAGGGCTCCAGTCTATCCGTCGGATCGACAGTCATGGAATACCTCTGGGTGAGATCCAAATAGGATATGTTTGGGTTGTGTAGCTTTTCAGCTTTAGGCTCCGTTTGCAGATCGAGTTGGGTGTGGATCAAAAATAGTTGGTAGTCCCAAAATGGCTTGCCCTGGTAAATGAAAACAAGGACCGAAACCTGTGGTTTTCTGGTGGTTTAATTTTGACCCATAGCCATTTGCAGTCTGATTTGGAATACCTCGTGGTCTTGAGGTCCCAATAGGAGATGCGATTTTTTGGGGGGGTTGTGTATCTTTTCAGCTTTAGGCTTTTGAGGTCCAGAAGGAGAATTTGGTGTTTGGTTTTTTTTTCTGATTTGGAATACCTCTGGGTGGTCTTAAGGTCCAAAAGTTGTACCCTTTACCGCTTGGCTTGCGAGAACCCGAAGTTCCAGCAGTGGAATGAAGGGTTTGGGGTGTTGCGGCAAGGGGGTTGTTTGGGGGGAGAGGGCGTGGACAAGAGCCCGAATCAAGATGGTAGCTGCCTAGCTAGTCAAGAGGATAGTAGTTGTTGAAATCAAGAGGGTGGCAGCAGCTAAGTTCAAAAGGATGGCAATTAGTTGCTACATTGAAGAATTTGCTTCCTTTTTGGTTTTTTTCTCCGAACACCTATCCACTTCCAGTCAGACCCTCCCTCACTTGCTGAGTGGATGGCCCAAAAAAAGTCCAAACTTTATATTTACCACTAAAATGGTCTACCCAAAAAGTTTAAAGTTCATGAACTCAGGAAGTGAGCTCCAAGGGGGAAACATAAAGACTGCTGTTGTGTGATCCGCAAAGCCATTTGCAAAGAAACGCCTTAAAGTCATTCAACCAGCGTCAGCGTGCTTCTTCGAACAGAAAACACGTATCTGCTTGGTTCAAGTAGTTGCTCAACACACCAAGCCACCGGAAAACTATGGCGGCAAAGGCATCTAAGCTTCCCCTAATAGACAAATAACTTAAGCCTGCACATGTGTCATGTGCTTTTTCACAGCAGCATGACCCTGGTCAGCGTGATGCACCAGTCATGACACTGAAATAACTACCTTCAGACACACACACACACACACACACACGCAGGCATGCCTGGCACTGAAGCTAAACAGCTTTTCATTCGACCACCGTATGCCTTTTCAAACATCTTGGCATCTTGAGCTCGCTGTTCTCCGATCTAACGACAGTCCGGCACATCCGCTCACGTCCCATCGCCTTGGCCTTCACATGGCGCGGCTGCGGCGCGAGGCGGCGCTGACTGGCTCATCTTTCGCAGCGCAGCCTGGCAGGCGCGTCAAACATGTGAGAAGCTCACAGCCAGGATGGGATTTTTACTAAATCGGCTGGTTTTCTTTCAGTTCCCTCCCTTGCCCAAAAGACTTTAGAAAGAACAGGTTGACCTTCAATTTTAGAACCTTGACCAAACATGGACCGAATCAGGGAAACCAAAAGCTCGAAAGGTCGGTTCGTTTTGAGCAACTGAGGACAAGGGCTTTACCTTCTGACTACTGGATCTTCTGGATCGGGAAAAGTGAGGGACTGCAGGCCTCAAAGAAGTTCTTGGCTACACTGCTACACGAGAAAGACATGTGGGTCACCATCAAAACCTGGTACAAACATGGTGAACCCAGAACCATGTAAAGATATGTAAAGAAGTAGAAAGGCGGCCGCAACCATTTTCGGCTGGGACTGCCCCCTTACTAACCTTCATCTACCCGGGTTTTGATTGTGGCACATGCGATGTCAATGCTTCAAGCCAGGCGCTTTTGCACACCTCTGTGCCACAAACAAACGCATGGAAAACCACAAGGAACAACGTAACACGGACGCCATTTGCTGGATCTGAAAAATGCCTCGCCCACACGACAAGGTCCTCCAGTAGAGAGGTTAGAAAAAGGGTACCCTTTTTCTTCTGTAGTCTATTTTAGTCGGGGAACCCTCCCAAAAAAAGGGTAAAAGGGCACTACTGGGGGACCTAGACGAGCTGCAGCATTCATCCCTCTGAAGCTCGCACCCCTTCCATTCGAATGAGGCCGCTGCACTTTTTCTTCCCTCGGGCGCACACATGGGGGGTGCAGCAAACAGATCCTGTACGTGGGATGACCGAGCAATAGGGAAACCAACATAAACAAAAACAGACTTTCACCACTTGGGAAAAATTGCCCATGGTCGAAACTGGGGGCCGAAGGGAATATGGGTTTGTCTTTTTACAGGGGGACCCCCCCAAAAAAAAACATAAGAATAATAATAGTACTACTCGTGGTTGTCCTTTTGGCGTCCCGAAAAGAACCACCCAAAAGGGCTACTCATATTGATGAATCCATGTTTAACTTCAAGTGGCTGTCTCTCGGTGACAAGCCAGGCCCAGCCTGGTCCACACCTTCTCACTTCAGAACTTTGTTTGAACAAAGATTGCTGCAAGCCGCCAAACCGGAATTCCAAGAATTGCAAAATACAGGACCTCTAAATATTACATGTTTTGCCAAACCCGAAAAAGGTGCCTCAAGTCCGGGACTAGAAAGAGCACTTGGAGGCTACAAGTGCGTCCAGGCGAAACCCTGCCTCGAAGTCCCGCTCCAAAGTGCCGTAGCCTCGGATTTTTTCTTTTTTTAGGAGAAAAAAACGGCCCAACATGCGGCAGCTGGAGTGATTCACGGATCGCCAGATGCTGAAAAAAATGAAAATCCTCCAAAATGACACCTTGGCATATGGAAACAAAGACTAGACTTATCGAGCACCTACGTCACCCCAGCTGTTTAATTTTAAGCCATGTGGGTCGATCAAGCTTGAGGAAAAAAACAGCGCAGATCGAAGCGGCGTGCGGAAACTGGAAAAGGGTCCTTAAGATCGATTCAGTTTAAGCAGGTTGGAACCCAATGCTTCCAGTTTCCACTGCAGTCACTATAGTAAGTAACCAGGTATGGCTGTTATACCTCCAGGTTTTACATGATGGTTTTGCTTGGACACCTACCATACTCAAATGATGCTGACCGCTGGTTGCTTGCATTGCGGCCTGGTTAACGTGCTTAGCTCTTGGGCCGCAGCCTCGTCAGTGAAAGGCAAAAGCCATGACCAAAGCCGTGTCAAGCGTGCCCCCTGAGCAAAGTGCACTGTCTGGTAGTAGGAGGCATCGCCCTTTTTGGAGTCAACCATTGCAAACCAAGCAGAATCAAAAACCTCCGTTGTGTACTTTCAAGGGGCCCTTGCGCGTTTAACACCGTCATCAGTGCTGCACATTCAAATGGAGATGTTTCAACGGTCAACATTTCAACCAACAAGTGATTATTGAACCTCCAACGAGGGAAACCACTGCGCAATTTGGTCATTGTTCATCCCCCAACCCCCCCCCCCCGAAGAAAGAAAAACAAGAAACCGAGCAATCAAAGACTCCAGTGCATATTCGCCAAGCTTGAAAATGCGAAATCCTGTCCTAGCATGTCCTTACACCTGGCAGCTCCTGAACCACACCCTCTTTAGAAGCGAATTTGGACTGGGCTCTGAAAATTTAACTTTCATGAACATATTTCCGAAAACTACCACTCAACCCTAAAAGTCCAGTACAAGCCTAAGCAAAGGAACCGCACGGCTGGGAACCGCCAACCTCCGACCAAGATGCGATCATAGAGCGCCGCCAGCTCCAACATTCCCATGCCCCGATCTGCCTCCGCACCTAGCTCATGGCATAGCACCTGCCATCGTGCGGCTCATTCTTCGGCCAGTTTTGGAACGGCGAGAACTTGCAACCTGTGCCGCTTTGATTGCTGCTTGGTTTAGGCAAACATGGAACTCTTCAGTGTTCGCTTGCGCAAATCAGGGTGCTACCCAAATTGCGGCATCGTGCACATGTTTCGTGCCACACGAGCTCAAGGTGCCGCCCCCTTTTTCCGCAAGGTCTTGAAACCACAAGGTCTCGGAGTTCTGAAAACCGCATCGCGCAAGCTCAAAATCTTGCAATGGTCGAGTTCAACTGCTCATAGTGGCTCAGGAGCTTCTTCATGAACGTGAGCCCAGGATCCACATGCAAAGCCATGTCGAAGGCTTCTTGCTGCATGTCCATCACTTCGTCAGGCATGAGGCCACCGTCAACTTCAGGACACTTTTCAGACATTCCAGATTGATTCACCTTACGGAATCAAATGGATCTGTCGTTCATTTAAGGGAACCTCCCAAAATAGCTCCGGAATTCCTCTTGGAGTCCCTAAGCAGTCAAGAAAGGTATCAACTACAAAAGAAATGGAATCGTCAACATGACCCCCTGTAACCCATTCAAGGAATACATTAGTACCTTCAGGCCAAGGCTCCCAACACGTGAGTCCAGTGGAGGGTTTCACACCCCAATAGTGGAGGATCATCGCTTTCTCCGACTCCCCCCAAAACAGCTTGTAGTTGAACTCGTCCCTGAGAAAGGCTCTGTCCAATGGCCTTTCATCCTCAAAGAAGTGGTTCAGCAGACCCTGGTCGTTGCTGTTCTCCAGATAGTAACCTCACTCAGATGTCAGGTAAACTACATGGGTGTGTCTTTTTTGAGAGTGCCCTCTTTATGTTGGCTTTAAGGGGAAGCCAAAAGGAAAACCAACATTTTGGGGCTCCCCTCACAAAAGACACACCCACATGATAACTTACAACAACTAAGAACTCAAAGAGCAAAGCGCTAAGCTTTCCCGATTCGTGCGACAGAGTAGCTCATCCTCGTACGGGTATCGCCAGGCCTCGTACCAAGGCCATGTTTCAGCAGCGAAGGTCGTAGCGCATTAAAACGTTGAAGGTCGACCAGCATCACGCCGATGTTGATTGGACCCTCCTGCTTCCTCGACGGTGCTCTTGCCGTAGTTGGGAAATTACTTTGACCAAAAGGATCCAAACAATGAAGAACAAAGAACGTGCCATCTGCACAAGCAATCACAATTCACCAACTCGAAACAAAAAGGTCGTCAACAACAGAATCTTCATCACGCGCTGTCTGCTTGGTCGCACCTTTTATCCCCAGCCCAATGGCCATGAACGAAGGCGGGGAACCCTGCGTTGGCGGCCAGCACTGCATTTAAGGTGTAGTTGTGCAAGCAAAGAAACGGGGACAACGTCCATCCGCTTGACTCCCCTGGGAAGCAATAAAAAATCGTCCAGTGGTGAAATTGATTCCCGTTAAAACCAACAGCGGAAAATAAGAAGTACTCCTTTCAGAGAATGGAAGACAAAAGCGAGGGCGTTCAAGAACCCTCCAACATACCTTTTGAGCATAGCCCGGACCCCAAATGAAAGGAATCATCATCATGGGATGGTTGGGGTATGCCCAAAAGATATGTTGGAGGGTTCTTGGCGAGCCCAGGCCTCTAAAGCCGGCCGGTACCTGGAGAGATTTGAACCGCCCCAACTTTGATGCTTCGGTTGAGTAGCACAGCGCTACTCCATACTGTGGATGGACGAAATCCTGCACCACTTTGAAACCATGGGAAGCCATTGCCGATCCACAGTACCAACGTCGCCATACCTCTATAATTCTGGATGCCTCAATGGATTGGGACCCTCTTCAGGGCGTTCGAGAAAATCCCTAAATTGCGCGGCGAGGCACAGACTTTTGACTGCGCCCTCACAACTGATGCAGGGGTACCCTAATAGCTTGGTTGCTGTTGACCCGTATACAAAAAGTTTAACTTGTTTGTGGGTCAAATGGACATTCCTCAGTTCCCCAAAAGTTCAAGTCCAAAAAGTCCAACAAAATCGCCACAAAGATCGTTCAGTCACTCTCGTTTTGATGAATGCAGTGCAATAAACCACCTAAACCCCTCTACAGGGACCTAACAATCTTCACTGTACGGGCCCGGAAGTTGCAACTTGCAATAAACTTAAACCCCTCTGCAGGCGTCCGGCACAAGGGATCCCATTTCTGCTGTCCTGAGTTGTGAGCCATAGGCCACCGCGAAGTGCTGCTGCGGCTTCATGCGATCGAACTCGCTCTGATCGATGTGTCTCATCCACATGATGTCCAGATCTGTGTAGAGGGCCACCTCCTGAAATCCTGAGTCAAATATCCCGGCTCTGAGGACACAAATACAGTCTGCATCGCAACTCAAGCCGAACCCCAAGCCATGCATGTTTGTGCAAGCAACAGCTCAAAGCTTCCATTGATTCTCAGACCACCCCCCCCCCCTAAACTTCTCAAAGGAGTCTTCCGAGGGGGCATGGAATTCCAAATGGAGATATCACCGCTCCACTTTTCGATTACTCATAAAAAACAAAGAACGCGAATGCACGAAAAGGAACATGGGTTGCCATACATGGAGATCTCCAGTCACCCCCTCCCCCAATTCCGTCTTTAAGAGGGTCGGAATCAAAAAGCCAGCGGGTGTTGTTTGAACAAGCGTCGGCCGCGTATGCCGCTGACCGCCTGCGCAATGTCCAAGCGAAGGTAGCTGCCTGCGAGACACTCCACGTCGGTGGTGAGGTCGTGAGGTGTGCTGTGCAGGGCATCGATGAAGGAGAGGCGATGGAAAATCACCACGGCCTCGAAGAACCAACTTATCGGGGCGATAGGTAGGGTATGCAGTAAACCTGGGCATTCCCGATGTCGCTGGTTGGCTGGGTTGCTCACCCGCTCACCCACCCCCACCCTTCCCACCCTTCCCACCCTTCCCACCCTTCCCACCCTTCCCACCCTTCCCACCCTTCCCACCCTTCCCACCCTTCCCACCCTTCCCACCCTTCCCACCCTTCCCACCCTTCCCACTCTTCCCGCCCTGCCCATCCCCCCGCCCACCCCCCCCACCCCCCTCCTGGAACCCCCACGCGTGCGCCTGTGCACGTGTGCGGGTGCGTGCATGCGTGCGCGTTTGCGAGTTTGCGAGTTTGCGTGCGCGCTGCGCACGCCAGCTGCGCAGTGCCGTCGAGCTCGAAGAGCGAGGGCAACTCTATGCGTAGGGAAGGCAAAAAGCCGACGTGGTTTGCTGCACCACCCGGACACAGGCTAGCCCAGACTTTCGGATCCCAAAACATCCCCCTTGTGACGGGCTCCTGATGCCACGTTGCCCAACCTTCAAACAACACTGATACCGTGCAAAGGGGTACCAACTGCAGAAAAAGAGACCATGGATCCATATTCTGAACCCATGGATCCATATTCTGAGCCATGCCCATGGGTGAGTTCAGCGGATTTCGTAATCTCTTCCCCCTAATATTAAACGCGGACCCCCTCCCCCCCCTATCAGCAAATCAGCCTCCAGGGCGAAACGTATTTATTAATAAGGTCCTTTTGGGTGTGAGCGGCTTTCCGAGACAAAGACGTTTATCCCTTGAAGCGTCGCAACTTTGTAGTACGACCGTAGTAAAGGAAGCGTGCTCCCAGCGCTCCGGCTCGAAAGTCGCAACTTTTGTAGTACGACCGTAGTAAAGGAAGCGTACTCCCAGCGCTCCGGCTCGAAAGTCGCAACTTTGTAGTACGACCGTAGTAAAGGAAGCGTGCTCCCGGGGCTCCGGCTCGAAAGTCGCAACTTTGTAGTACGACCGCAGTAAAGGAAGCGTGCTCTCGGCTCCTGCACTAATTACCCGCCCCCTAATAAGGCTGCGGCTGGTCTGGGTGAGAAATCCGAGAGTTTAGTATTGGTTTTGAATTGGCCTATTCTAAAAGAAGTATTGGGACCCGGCGGTCTGGGAAAAATAGTATTTATTAATAGGGTCCTTTTATTAAAAGGGGGAAGAGATTACTGCTGGGTCAATGGGCATATATGGATCCATGGGCTCAATGAGTGTCGCTTTTTGGATAGCCCTTTCTATTGTGGTGTTCAAGGGAAACAAATAAATAAGAAAACTGACGCCATGTTGGGGCTCCGTCCAACCTTAAAAATGACGAGCCACCCACATTAGCTCCAACAAATTCAGCCTTCTTACATTTCAGCCAAATGGAAGCCGTAGGGAACTCGTATGACACGTTTGGTCATCACAGGTTGCCCTATGCATCGCCCCCGTCCGAGCAGCGCCCAGCTGCCGAAAACGCTCCAGGCGCATCTGCAGGTGCTGCGAAAGCTGGCCCGCTGCCAAGGCCTCCCGATAACAATCACCGCCGGAGCGCCGCAGTCCAAAAAGAAAAACCCGTGTCCTCGCCTGTTGGAGTTTTTTTGGTTTTTGTCAAACAAGAACAAGGCATCTTCGTTTTGGCACACTGGAAAGTGTGTGGTTGGTCTGTTTGACTAAGACATGGGGTGTTTACCCCCCTCTTGTTCTCACCTCTTGAGTGGATTGGCCAAAGCAAGTCTGAACTTTCTTACGGTGATAGCTCTACAAACCGCAAAGCCAGATATTAACAAGTCATGTACCCTTCCCCAAGCCCAAAGGGCGGTGCCAGTATTGTAGAACATGATTAGTTAACCCCCCCTTCTTATTAAACACGCCCGGTTTTCCCAGCCGCCAACTTGCCGGGGGCACCTCCCAGAACCCCCTCTGATTAAACAAGCCCCTTTCCGGCCCAAAAATCAGACAAATACCAAAAACCTAGATTTTAAGTTGCCAATGCTATTGCCAATACTTTTGCAAATAGTAACTCCCTTCATGGTCTCAAAGCTTGCCATTGCAGAATCCGAAAAACGGCTAGCCGGAAACCTCAAATTTCTTGTTCATCTGGTTGAAAAAGGCCAGGTTTGCCAAGGTGCCCCCCTTCAAGGCGAGGCGCCCCCTCTCGAAAAACACAAAACCCCTTCTGACGAATCAAGTTTTCTCCAGCCCTGAAAAATGTCGCTATCCTATCGCTATGTGGAGTTGCACTTCCTATGGTACTATGTTTTTAGCACCTTGTCGACCTTGAAGGGGGAGGAGGGTGGTTTACTGCTCAAGTTCCACCATTACCTTGAATGTTCCAGGGGGGAAAATATGTTCAAACCACTGGCGATAAGTCATAAACAAGCCCTTCAAGAGGGTAGTTCGACACGACACATTCTATTCTGAAAGCTACTGATTGCCAGTAAGGTTCAACAGGTGCCCCCATGCCAAGGGGAGCCCCACATGTTTTGTCACGCATCATTCATTTGGGAAGCCGAGACTCAATCCCAGTTGTTGGAAAGCTTGGCCATTTCCGGCAATGCCTATGCAACTAGAACCAACATACCCACTGGCCCCGGGGAGAACCGTCTGAGGGGCTTCTCACAATGGCTTCTGATCCCAATTTCTTTGCCATTCAAAGGCAACCGTATTCTTGGGAGCTCAAAATATGAGAAACCCTCACCCCCCCCCCCACCACCCGGGAGGGGGGGAGGGGAAGGAATTTGCCCCTCACCTTGGGCAAGTGCACCGCCAAGTGGGGACGGAAGAGCCGGTTCCCCACGAGCTGCCAAGACTGCAGGGCGATCTCATACCTTGAGAACTTCCCAAGGCTCACTTCCGAATGAGTAGATTGGCCCAAACAAGTAGCCAATGTTATTTCTCGGTTGCTATTTCTGCTCCCCTGCTAAAAGTTTAACTTTCAGTGGTTTAGTGGAAAACCCATTAGTTGGCAAAAAGTTAAAGTCCGAACAGCCAAGCAATATGCACCAAAGATTTTGTTTGCCCCCAAAATGGTCTAAATCCAACAAGTTGAAGTCCGGGAACTCAGGACTTGAGCTTTAATTTGTGGTTTGGATGAGTGGCTTGGAGCTCAGAACAATTGGGGTTCAAGTTGCAAAAAACCCAATCCAGACCAGCTGAGGGTTTACCTGACCTAAGCCGCCAAAAAAAGAGACGAGGGCAACTTGAGGTATGGGTGTTGCAGGTATGGATGCTGAGTGGCATACACCTCCAAACCCCATACCAGAAAATGCCCCATGGAACCCAGAAGCGTGCCGCGACAAGCACATAGCCATGCAAATGGCTAAAGCGGCTACATCCGCTTCGCACCGGTTGGGATGGGTGGAACCCCTCGGATAGACCACCTATCAACTAGTTCAGCTGTGTTTCCATCTGCGGGAGCAGGTATGGGCAAGCCATAAGAAAAACCTGGAGGTACAAAAGGGAGCAAATCAGTGCTCGATCATGTGCTACAGGAGCAGGTGCTAGTACTGACATGTGCCCTTATACACCCCTTTACCCCATATACAGGCTGGCACCAATTTATGGTTGGGGCACGCACCCCCCCCCCCGCTCGCACGTCGTTCCTGCTTTCCAAAAGGAGGTGCCTTAAAAAGGGCCACGCTGCCCTTGTGGGCGTCCTTCTGGGGTAGCCCCAATCCTCCAACCCCGTTTGGGGACCAGGGTCGCAGAAAGCCATCCAAATGATCCCTGACGCGTGGCAGCCGAAAAACGCGGCATCCCCAAGCTCATGCTAAAATGCATACGAAACGTCCAGGAGCAAACGCTTGCTGCATACTTGTGTCGAATCGCAGACTGCGGAAAGTGGAAGAAATGCTGATGCCGCACAAGCGCACACTTTGCAAACACATTCGTTGTGCGCAACATGTGTACTTTGCTAATTCCTTGGCTGAGAGAATCCTGCCACAGAACCTGGCAAGAAGCACAACGTCTTGCCAAACTCGGACAAAGCACTGATCCATGTAGTGATCCGTGCTCTGACAGCTGGGAGACAGAGAAATGGAACCTAGGTTGCAGAACGTGGCCGCGTCACGTGCTGGCAATGTCCTCCGGAACAAAAACTTGTACAATTCCCCTTCAGTCAAAGCCCGGCACACCAAAATGACCTGGAATCAAGCTGGCCCCACATTTGCTACTTCAAAGCCAGGCGCTCATCCACAGAATCGGCTTTCCTGGCTGCTTCCGCCACTGCTTTTGCTGCAGAAGGGCAGGGGGCACTGGCTCCGCGAGCGCCGCGGCCCCAAGTAGAAAGTAAAGGAGGCCCATGGCCAGTACGGTACCGCAGAGGCTAAGGTCAGGGCGGTTTGGCTCAAGCTGCGGGCGAACATTTGCCCTTACGACGCGTGGCAACAACGCCAAAACTCCTGCGACGAGATCGTGTGTCTATTCTTGCCGCAAAAGCCAACCAATAAAAGGCATGTCATGGCATTTCAATTGGGAAGGGTACTTTTACCTGACTGGGGTTGCTTGCAATTGAATACATCTGTGCTGCAATCGGCCAGTCTACGTTGCACATGCATTTGCAATCTTCAAATTTGATGTTGCCACAGCGCCAAAGAAGAATCGAGCCAAGTGCTCTGAGAACCGTCTGTGTGTTTCCCAAGTCAGCTCCTTGGAAAAACTGTCATGCAGTTGGAATGGTTCATACTTTGAAATGCTATAACAAACCTCGGTTGCGAAATCTGCTCCCCTGCCAAACGTGACTAACTTTTAGTGGTTTAGTACGCAGAACCCAAATTCGTTGGCAAAAAGTTATAAAGTCCTAACATCCCTTGGCAAAATGCACCAAAGAAACACCATGGATATTGATAAACATAGCTATAAAACAAACACCGCAGAAGCAGAGTCCTCCTATCCCAGGCTGGCAATCCTAATCCAATCCAGACGCACCCAGTCCACAACTTCCATTTGCGGAGAAGTCCCCTGGAAAAAATAAGACTATTTCCAGTAGTGATAGATTCCCTTCAAAACCAACGTGAACAACCACATATTCACTTCAGCAAATGCAAGCCTTTGAACAGCCCGGAGAGTCTCCTCCGAAACAAGTCTCAGCCTTGACCCATGCGCCGCGCGGACACCCCTAACTTCCATTTGCTTAAGCCCCCGACAAAAATAATAAACAATCTAATTTCCTGTAGTGATAGATTCCCTTTAAAGCCAACTAACATATTCTTAAGCAACTTGAAGGTAATGCACAAGTCTCAGCTTTGACCCATCTGCGCGAACATTCGCAATTTGCACCTTCCCAAATAACCCTCGAGCAAAGGCCTGGTAGATCTCGCAGGGCAGCTGGTCCCCTGCCGCATACTTCTGCAGCTCGTTGCACTCCTGGCCGGCCATCCGGAGGATCCGATCCGGCGATCCGGGAATCCGGGCCAAGGGAGATGGAAGGAAAAAAGCAAAAAACATATCTCCTCACTTGAGTGGGCCAAGGGAAATGGAAGGAAATGGAGTGGATGGCCCACAAAAAAGTTCGCCCGAGCTTTTCCTTTTTGCCTTTAAAGCGGTCCAAACCCAAGTTTCAAGTTTCAAGTTGAACTCAGGAAGTGAGTCTCTGTCTCATTTTTTTGAGTTGGAAACCAGAGTTCACATTCTAGACCACTGTGGACGAACTAAAGCTGGCGTCGCTTTGGGGTTAGACTCATGCTGAAGTGCTGCAGGGTTCCTTTGATACTTCCTTGACACATCCAATCGCATTGTCCACAAGAGTTTGGCAGAGAGAGAGAGAGAGAAATAGATGTATATTATGCATATTATCACTTGCCTCCAATTGGTCGTTTGGATTGGTGGTTTGGAGGTGACATAGGAAGCGGTTTCCCATTTGCCCCCTACCAAAGCCAGTCAATTAGGGTTACCTGATATTCTATTGGATAAACTCCTTCAACATGACCATGGCAGGGGCGATTGCCCGCCCAACTTTCCGGGACCTCGCTTATGGTTGGTTATTCAAGGGAAGGCGTGGTGAAAACACACATGTTGGGGGGATCCTCATCTAAAGATACATATTGATTTCTCTCTGCTTAAAGAGGGTGCTACGGGATTGCCGTGAATGGGTGATCTGGCTCTCTTTTTTGTGGGTGCCCTTTTCGTTGTTTCGGCAAGGAAAACCAAACTCACTCCCGAACGAGTAGATTCGCCAAAAGAGCCTCAAATTTCGGCACCAAACCAAAAGAGTGACTAAAGTCCAGCACCGCAGCTTTTTGTACTGAAGCCGGGGTCCCAGTCCCTAGTGTTGCATGGATCCCATGCCTGGGTTCAAATGCAACCAGGCAGCTTCGAAGTTCAAATGTCCGTCTCCGTTCGCATCGAAAGCTGCAAGGATGATCTGAACCTGGCAAATCTCTGATGCCATCTCCGAAATGCCGTCGGTTTCACTAAACCCTCTTGCGACGCTGAACCTATGGTCACCAAAGAATCCAGTGGATCCATGGAGAATTAGAATCCAAGCCAACCTAAACTGGAGAACACAACCTCTGAAAATCCCAGAAGGCACGGGCAAATCATTGTCAATTGTCAACTTAAGTGTACTCAAAACATCCCAATGCCATGGAAAGTATGCACACAAGCGAACAAACAACATCTTGAACATGCTGTTCAGTGGTGGGAATCCATTTCCCATGTGAAAATAGTGTGTGGTTCCAGACCAGGTGATGTAGCTGCAGCACCCGTTGCGCCTTCTCGTTGCCTGCGAATTGGTTGTCCTGGTCCTGGTCCATTTCCTGACAAAGAGCTGCTCACTGGCTGTTCCCCAAAGTAAGAAAATGGGTGCAGCTGTTTTGGAGGGTACCCATAGCGCGACTTTAAAGGAAACAGGGCAAAACCAAAGAAGCACCACCCATTTTGAGGATACGGTCTCTTTGAGACAAACCCACGCAATCTGCATCAAAACAGAAACTGAGTGAGCTTCAATAGCAAGTACCAACCAGAGAAAGCTTCACTAGGAATAACACACTCATCATAGATCAAAGCTCCTTAGGCGAGGCTACAACCAAAGCCTGAGTAACGTTCCACCCCACCCCCCTGTAACGTGTCCATAGAATCCAAGTGCCTCACAATCTCGCAACGAATTTGCGGACGTTTCAACCGCCGGGCCCGAGCATAGCTCCCCTGCATGCGTTTGGACAGTCACCGTTGAAAGCCCGCTACAACCATGAATGTAACTTGTTACAACTCTGAGCTGTCCTCAGATCCCCCCGCTAAAAGTTTAACTTTTAGTGGGCTAAATGGAAATCCCGACGAAACACTAAAAAGCCAAACAGCTAAGGAACCGCATGGCTGGCTGAGCCGCCAAGAACTGATCGACCGGTAGCAATCGAGCAGACTCCCCCGACGTGGCACCCCCGTGCCTCAGCTCTGGGGGATCCCATCGCGTTTGGCTCCTGGCCGTGCGAAGGCGCTGAGTAACACTCACAGTGGGGACGTTCAACGCAGATCAAAGGCTTGACCACGCTTGACCCCCCAGGCATCCCCAATCCTCGGGCGCTGGGCTTGTCTCCACAACGCCTCGGGCTTCTCAGTAGTTCGCCATAACTCTGCGGCAAAAAACACATCTGGGCTTGCCATGCACAGGCTTCCAGGAGTTGGATGGAATCCAACTCATCAGGCCGTCCGTGCCAGCCTTTGTTAAAACAACATTTCCAGCAGTGATTGTTTCCCTCCAAAAATGGCAGGAAAAAGCAACACATATTCTTAAGCAAATGGGCCTCTGGTGCCACCCGCGATCCACAATGCGGCAATTGTCCAAACTCCCAGCTCGTGCAGAAGAGCAGCAGTCGTTGTCGGCTTCGCTCTCAGCGACCGCGACGGACTCGACAGCTGTGACATGCTCGGTCTCAGCAGTCTGGGCAGCCTAGGATGACACGGAAAGATCATTGAATCACTGCGTTTGAACTGCTTAAAATATTGACAAATGAGACCACACCAACCCCACATGTTGATGGGTCCATTCCTTGCCCATCTGGCCGAACAACCAGCAACATGACAAAACAAAATGCAAAACCCTGCAACTCTGCAATTCAATATTGCATCAATACCGGAAAGCGATTCATGCATTTATGGGGAGGCATTGCAGAACAAATGTCCCACTCTCCCCAGACTTGAAGCCGAAAAAGAGCAGGGAACACACACACACACACATGTTTTTCCCTTGGTGAAGAATGCAACATGTGCCTGAAAAGTCAACGGAGCCGAGAAACGGACGTCCCAAAACAGGAAACACAGTTGGAGACCAACCATTTCCATTCCTGTCGCGTCTCAGCCCGCCAGCGCGCCTTTCTTCTTTGTATGTTCTGTTCTTTTTTGGGCGCGGATGCGTTACAATGCCATTCGTTGCTTGCAGGCCCAACCGCGCGTGCAAGCCGCGCTGTGCGGCCTGGAGCGGCAGGCGCGCAATCCTACGCACCAAGGCCAGCCGACCCCGCGGAAGTCCGCGAGTTGGTTGCGGTCCGCAGAGGGTTCACCATGTGATGCCGCTCGGAAGTCCGTAGAAGATTCCGAGACCAACTGGCCCGTCTTCAAGCCCGCGCCGTGACAGGGGTTGTATGAGCACATGCCGAAGAGCAAAATGTGCATCTGCTCGCCAGTATATTGTCACTTTTTACTACCCGAAACGCTCTTATTTTGGCTTATGGCTTGCTCCCAACCTTTGAATCTTCCGTAGGTAGTGGCTTCTTCTGCGCCCCTTGCGCTTGAGCAGTTTCAGGCTGTCAGTGCAGCGACTCACTAAGTCCCAGCAGCCGATGCTGGCGGCTGGAGAAGGAAACCTGGGCACAGGGTCGTTTCTTGTTGCGCCTACCTTCAAAACTTGGAACGGAACTGTAAGGGTGCAAACAATCCTTGGTTGACCTTGGAAGGGGAGCAAACAAATAAATAAACAATAGCAGTTAAAAGGGGATTTCAACCACTAAACCACAATAAGCAAAAATGCAAACGGTTTCCTAATGACAACCATGAATCCACTACGAAGCAGGCTGTTCCTTTTGGGCTTGGTTCATTGCATCTGATGACTCCTTGTTGCTTTCAACTTTTTCATTGCCCTACGCACGCGCAGCCACTTTGAGGAAAGCGCCGTCGTCAGTGTGGTCAGTGCTCACGTCTACCTGCACAAAGCTGCAACTTGCGCAGGCCCAACAACCTGCTTGGGTGTTACATAGGGTGGGTGTCTAGACAGAAACACACACACGCTCACAGACTCATGGCCCCTGTTGGCTTCCTTTTGGTACGGGTAAAAGTGGACCCGGACAAAAGCACCCACTTGTTGAGGACTATCCAGTGAGGAACCCTTTTCGCCACAAGCGTCAGGGCCCTGTGTTAGCAAGCAAGTACAAAAGGCAGGCAGGCCAGCAAGCAACGCAAGCAGGCAACGCAAGCAGGCAAGCAGGCAGGCAAACAATATCAACGAAACAAACAAACAAACAAACAAACAAACAAATAGGCACAGAAGCAAACAAACTTACAGGAGGCAGGCAGGCAGGCAGGCAAGCAGGCAGGCAAGCAGGCAGGGAGGCAAGCATGCATGCAAGCAAGCAAGCAAGCAGGCAGGCAGGCACGCAGGGCGGGCACGCAGGGCAGGCACGCAGGGCAGCCACGCAGGGCAGGCATAACAGCCAACCGCATGGCAGGCAAGCGAGCAAGCAGGGAGGCACGGAGGCAAGCAAGCAGGCAGGCAAGGCAAGCAGGCAAGCAGGCAGGCAGGCAAGCGGGCAAGCAAGCAAGCAGGCAATCAGGCAAGCAGGCAAGCAAGCAGGCAGGCAGGCAGGCAAGCGGGCAAGCAGGCAAGCAAGCAAGCAAGCAAGCAAGCAAGCAAGCAAGCAAGCAAGCAGGAGCGGGCAGGCAGGCAAGCAGGCAAAGCAAGCAAGCAGGCAAGCAGGCAAGCAAGCAAGCAAGCAAGCAAGCAAGCAGGCAGGCAGGCAAGCAAGCAAGCAAGCAAGCAAGCAGGCAGGCAAAGCAAGCAAGCGCTGGGAGGCAAGCAGGCAAGCAAGC